TTGGTCCTAAATATTATAATTTTTTCCAATTAAGTTATTTTTTGCACAAGAAATGAGAACTATGTAAAATTAAATAAAATTTTATAAAGTGCATCCAATTATTAATAATGTCAAGGTAAAAATTTTATATTAATGTGTATAAATTTTTAACTTATCATAATATTATATAATATTATAATTATATTATCTTTAATTATTTTAAGTTCATAGCAGTGAAAGACCTATGAAACAGCTGACTAAATTATCAATGTAAAAACGCTTCCTCACTACTATGATTAACTAGGATTCAAACTCTTATTCTCCCTCTTCACCTTCCTTCCTTATAAAGGTTTCAATCCATTGGCTTGTCATGTAAAAAAAAATTCGTAGCATTTTTTATTGGTCCTCAAATTTTTTTTTTTAATTTTTAGTCTAAATACTGTTATTATCATTTTACTTATTTTTTATTATTATTAAAGATTACTTTTAGGTGATAATACGAAAGATGAGGAGAATATAGAGGAAAGATGAGGAGAATATAGACTAAGAGTCTATTTGATTCGTAGAAAAATCACTTTCAAAAAATATTTTCTTCATTTTCATGCGTTTGGTAGTAGAAAATAAGTCTAATAATTAAAGAAGTTCAATCAATGCAACGAAAAATTCATTAAGCAATTTCCAAAAACAACTTTCCCTATCAAAATTTTGGAAGTTATGTTCCATCTTCAAAAAAACACGCGGACCTAAAGCGGGTCATCAAGGACATAGGCGTGTCGTTGGGGACCAGGTGATCAAGACTAGAGAGAAATCAAGCCACTGGCGGCATACATTTCACCCATCTACACTGCCTTCTCTGATAATTTCTAACCTGCTCTAACAACGTGGTGTTTTGTTTCTGGTTCGTGGCTAGATCGTAAGTGAGCAACAACATCTCCTCTTGCTCCATTTTTTTTGCAACTAACGCACTCACTTTGTTCATCTGAATGGTAAAAATCCCTCAGTGACTCTGTATGTTTATGCCTATGTTCAGAAACCTGACTCTTTGGGGTACACATGAGATTTCGTATTTATCATTTTTTTTTATCAGTAGAGATTTTGTATTTATCATATATTTACAGTTTAAAATTAACATTTAAAGAGTTTTTATATTATACTATCTAATCTGATTCGATTTTAAATTTGTTAACATTTAACATAATTTTTAAATTACATGGGTTAGTATAAAAATAAATTAATTTTTAATATTTGTATATGAGTTTTTGTTAGAACTATGATTTTTGGGGCCTGCACGTAAGTTGTTCGATGAATTTGTCTAAGAGAAACTCAGTTGCATGGGCTTGTTTGACCACATGGTGTGCTCAAAAATGGCATGCCAAATGGGGCTCAGAGAGATGGTTTTTGTAGTACTGTGTCAGACCTTTGGTCACGTGGGTTTGAAAAGGAAGCATGGCTAGTTGCTTGGTTTGCAACCTTGGGGACTATATGGACTTGCGGAGAAATCAATTAGTTTTCAAGGAAGAGGTTGATGATTTAGATAAGGTTATTGACTTTGTTAAATACAAATCCTTCTACTGGGTTCGAGAAACATTTAGCCTGTAGTGTAGTTGTGTCTACTTATTTATATCCACTTCAAAAAAAATTTTAATTTTTTCATAGTTAGTCAAATAATGAAAAATATTTTCTTTATATAACTTTTTAAAGTGTTCTAAACATGAGAAAAAAAATTTTAGTATATTTAATAATGATGAATTATATAAAAGAGAATAATCCTCTCATTTCTTTAAATTCTGTTTGTTTAACTCAATGTTTAAAAATAATTTTAAAAAATAGTTTTACATAATATATTTTTAAAAATGAAGTTATTTTTTTTGTAAACTAAAATTAAAAAATTATTTAATATCTTCCTTTTACAAAAGTGTTTATTAATACTTTTTTTAAAAAAAATTTGTTCTTTCACTTATTATATATGTTTATTATTTTGTCCTTTAATGGATGGCTTTTCTATTATATCATCAACCACTATGGATTTATCTTACAACTAATAAATTTTGTTTATAATAATTTTTTTTATAAAAAATTCTCTTCTATCAACTTTTTTTAATTTATATACATAAACAAACAAATTTCCTAATCAATCTGGCTAAAGAATATTTCTGGCTTCCGCTATCAATTGTGTCTGTATCACAACAATTCATAATAAAATGTTAAATTTCAGA